GAGTTATAGGCAGTTGCGCGGAGACATGATACAAACTTTCCGTATCGTGCGCGGCTTGGATCGTGCCCTTCGGTGCGATGAATTTTTCCAACTCGCCACCACAACTCACCTCCGGGGACATCCCTTCAAGCTACGTGTGCCACAGGGTAGACTGAATGTGAGAAAATATTTCTTCTCCAACCGTGTCGTGGAACCGTGGAATAACCTGCCCAAGACGGTTGTTATGTCTCAATCTGTGGAGGCATTTAAATGTCGCCTTGACAGATATATGCTGCAGCAACAAGCGGACTATGCGACTTTTTAACCATAGTGACATATGTGAATCAATGTATGCATTCACTTAATGCTGTAATTTCTTCACATTTTTGCTTGTTTATCGATTTTTTATGTACATATAGGGAGTTCAAAGGCGTAAGCCTATTTCCCTCAAATACACTGACTGACTGACTGACTGAAAAAGGAGACAAGCTGAAATAGTGCAACTACGCCGGAACAAAGCCCGTCGGCATCAGTGCGAAAATCCTGACTATAATCCAACTGAACCGTCGTCGATAACACAGAAATGCGTAAACGCGGAGAATAAGATGGTGGATGAGAACCTGGCATGTTTACCCAACGACTTATCTCCAAAAAACCGCACTTTCTTCATCGAAAGACGAGTGCCTACCGCTTATTCGTTACGGGCATCCACTTTGCGGAGTCCTGTAGGCTGGCTGCACATGGGGAAAGCTCCTGATTCAGATTAAAGTATGGTACCCATTTACGCGAAAAAAAACAGCTTAGAAGAACCAGTAAAGGCGCGTTAAATGTCGTCATCAGTCAAGGTTAACTTTAACCGGATGCTTGATGTGGTTCTGGCCAGAGCCGTCACATAATAAGGAAGCATCCACTTACCCCAGACGTTCACTACGTTCACAAAATTGCCTTCGATGAAATGCCCTCTGTCTACTGTTCCACAGATGATGGTGTCGAGGAGGTTGGCTTTGAAATGAAGACTGTGGAAAATAAGACACCTTAGCAAGGGCCTTATGTCGTTTTCCAACTGGTGGGGCAACTTAGTCATCATGGGAGTACTTTGGGGTGACTGGAGGACTTAGAGTCGGGCTCTAATTACTCCCTCTCAAAGTGGCCCTTATGACATTCTCACTGATGTAGGGTTCGAGTGGCTCCAACAATGGCCTAGTGGGGAGCAGATCGCGTGTGACACGGATGAACGAACCGTTTGGCTTTTTGTACCACTGCGCCCGAACCCGCGTCCAGTCAACTTGCCACTGTCTTGTCATCGAAGCATGGTCGGTAAAACAAATAAGAGCGGTGGGTTCTGCGCGAGTCTACATCTAATTCACGCGCAAGTCGCCGGTGCCACGCCCATTCCGTGGGGGGAAACGGTGGGCGTCATCGTCTGCGACGGTTATACTGTCACATACTGGAATTGCTTCACTCCCACGGTGTAACTGCAGGCGGTAGATCGCTCCCGAGTACAGCGCCCTTTCTACTTTACTACAGAGAAATGTCTGACGGACCCAAAGTATCGCGTAAAACCCACATGCATTATGTGCTGCCACCCTCGAAAGTGCCTGTACGTGGGTGCGGTCCAATTTCTTCCACCCTACAGCGACGAAGTCGGACTTATGCACACTGTTCTCTTAAAGACCCTAGAAGTTTAAGAAGTGGTATCCCCTGAGGAGCAATGTGGACCTGATTTGAAAACCACATCTAGAACATCAATCGGTGAGTCCCCATTGTTTTGGTGAAACATGGTCTAATATTAATAAAGAAACTCAACCCGGTTACAGTTACGGAACCACGATACGAAATTACATTCCCTTTAGGCTGACTAGGAGTGCAACGTTTAGTCCGATAGCCTTTCTAGATAACTCCGGACAGCATATCCGTCCTAAATTCTTCGAATGTTGATTAGTAAAATGATATTCAGCTCCAGAGAATGGGACTCACAAAATTGGACGAATTAGCCGCAGTTTCATGCATGAATTTCGTAAATGAAGTCTGTGTGGGTTCAAAACTTCTTTCCGCTCTCCCAAACGGCTCAGCGGCTGCCTTTAGACGCTGCAATGAGGCTCGGAATGGACTGAGGTAGGGTGCTGGTGAGGCGAATAACGGTCGACAGCCGGAGGGAGTGGCTGAAAATGTTTCGCCTGCAACAGCATTGCCAACTGGGGTGCAGAACGGAGGTTGGCCAGACTTCAAGGGGACAGTGGAGGGAGTTAGGATGGCTCCGGTATTGCAAGCAGGAATCCCTATGCCAGGATCGTCTGTCAGAGCCCTGGGTGCGACCGTTATACGTCCGTCCTCTCCGAGCGAATACAGATGAGCGTAGTCCTAGTTTTAGGAAACAAAACCCAAGAAGTTAGCAAGTCCCTCAGCATGGAAAGGACTGTATGAGAGGATTTACGGACATAAAGTTCATCAGATGGTGTTTGCTGAGTAGACGGATATGCCGGTCAGTTCTTTTAGCGCATTGGCTTTATTTCAAACAGTGAAGGTCATGAGACCCAGCTGTCCACAATTGGTAGACAGCGGAACAGCCCTTGACGGCGGTCAGTAGCAATGTACGCATGCCCTGGAGTCTGATGAATAAGTAGCCGCAGACGAACAGCGACAGTGCTACCCGGACAGGGAGGACTTTATGACGTGCCTGTTGTCTTATGAAATGTCAAAAAGCCTGAAAGCGACACCGTGGCGTAGCACCGTCAGCCATTAAAATAATTTCACTTGCAATCATCGCCCTGTGGTTAGGTTCCTGGACCAAGGCGCCAACAGAGACAATCTGAGGCAACCAATCTGGGCGGTTGTTGGGAATGCGCCTGTGCACAAAAATCGCAAGAAACCTCATGAAAGTATCCGACTTCCAGATCACGACTTCTGCGAGAACCGACGTGCTACGCAGCCCAGCAGCAGGGGGCGGTGGTAGGCACGACAAATTATTCAATCAAAAAACGAACCCTAGGTAACGGATTGGTAGTATGCAAAAGCTTCCCAACTTTGGGATCCGAAGTTCGACGGTGTGCAATCTTTATCGGTGCCCCGTGGATGTTCGCTGCATGTATAGGGTCTGAATCCCCGACTTAAGCCTTTGAGAAATCAAGATCCCAGAGTGAACTTCAACTGAATTCTAAATCACGGCTGGCTTCCGTAAGAGTGGACGAGCGCTTTACTAGATTCTCGGTCGTTTTTATCTGCGTGGCAGCATCAGTTGGAGAGAGCGCGGTGAAAAAAGCCTCGACTCGTAGCTGCGAGAACTTATTGAATAAATCCCTCGTTGACGACTGGTGACTGCTATTGACGACTAGAAGGGTTGGTTGGAGCCAGTCAACTCTTCGAACGACCACATTCTTGGTCGCTCTGGGCTTTGCTGACCAGAAGCGGCTAGTCCTCGCCAACAGTATCACCAAAAACACCAGCTGACCCAGTATTTTAAAGACCGTCGTACAGTCAGCCAGAGAAACTATATTCATTTTAACTCGAAGTTTCGTGGCTAGACTCACTAAAACAGATTTATGGATGATGGTTGAATTGGCCAAGCCTACGAATTAGACCATTTCCACGTCCGCAAGCGCCTAAAATACATCTCTTATCTGCGCAATAATCGTTAGAAAGTGTATGTGAGTCCGACGTATAGCTCATTCCCACAAGGGTCTCTGTGTACCTGCCATCCATCGTCAGATTGCGAATTCCGAGGTATGCACGTGGAAGGCTGGCAATTACTGGAGGCGTTTGGCCGCTGTTGGCTGAGAGCCATCTTTTAAGTGGGATGTACTGACTTCGTCTCCAGTGAGACAGTTTACATTAGCGCAAACAACATCAAGAGAATATCTAGTGCCATTCGAGGAAGATGAGTGAGGTAGCATTAGCAGATTTCGCGCCTATCGCCGCAGAAGTCCAGTGTTGTTGACCTTTATCGGACGCGAGCGTCTAACTCGACGCGGGCTGTCAAACGGTTTCTGAACTTTATTAGTCTTCGTCAATGGGAAAGAATGGTTCGTGATATCTAGACAAGCTATTATCGTTCGTCCGGCACAAACAGGTACAATCCTCAAACTAACGAGATTGGCTAAAGAAGATGTGATCAGAGCGATGCCCAGTAAAGTACAAACAAGTACACATACGGTGAATATTATTCTTATAAATTGCAGAATAGACCTTGCTGAATTATCGAAAAAATTGGAAAAACGGCAAAGTGGCAGAAACAAAGATTAAAATGTTTCGCTTTATGGGACAATACAGGTGCAAGGCATAGTACGATTCATTTGTAGCTGATTGATATTTATACTTGATTTCGCTGTTGTCTTTTCTTCTGTTTTACCGATTACGTATTGTATTTGATAACATAAACCTTTAACAATGAGTCCTCGGGAGTATGTTGGAAAAAACTTCGAAAGCTGAAAAGTAGCGGTAAGTGTAAACTAATGGATCTAATCGGCCACATCGGCGCAAGTCAAGTAGTAGCACTTAAAAAGTAAAAACAAGTTTCAATTGCCAGATTATTAGCGCCGAACTTGCCTCCTTTACTGCTTTTTCTATCTGCCAGATTGAGTATTTCTGGTTTATCGAGTTGAAGGTGATGACAAGCGACAGCGCGTCAATAGTGCCCACAATCCGCTGACTCACATCATTGGCAAACCCTAGCTTTGGCTGGCAGTCCGAAGACCCTACGCGGGAAGACAAATAAAAGGTTAGCATTGGCTATGTCCTAGTACGCGATATATCAACTTTGCATCGACAAAAGACTCACCAGGCACTTTGAGGAGGACAGGAGTCATCTCATCAAGCGGGTGTGTCATGAGAAATACTGTAAAAGTAGACGGCAAATCCAAAGACGATTCTTTCGAAACCGGATTGACACAGGGGCTTCTGCATGGGCTCCAAAATTGAAATGAAGACTCCGGCTTTACTGACGCCTGAGAAGTTGGACAAACTTTTTCTGTTGCAGTAAGCCTACGTTCCAAAAGGACGCCCGACTTTAGAGGCCATACAGCCTCAACGTGGAAAGGAAGTCGAGCAAGAAAGGGCGTTCCAGATTCTTCAACGAACGTGCATCTCTGCGACTCAAAGACACAAACACCCCGCTGAAGTGTTCTTTCAGTATCGGTGGAAGGATCGAACTAACAAGAAATAGTGTAGCAAGGAAAATGCGTAAGTGGGCGTGGACAAGCCAGACGCAAACAAAAGTCGATTATGGTGAAACAAACTAAGTGTGTCACCTCGAATTCATCCTCGTATTTTTTGGGCAGCATGAAAGTGGCCCAGCAGGCCGTGATAATGGGGCTTTCCATCGTAAGAGTGAAAAGGGGAAAATGCCCCACATCGCCCGATAATCGGCAACACACCACATCACAGTCCCGAACGTACAACTCTTCAAAGTTGCCATCTGATGACCGAACTATCCAAAATTCTCGCTAGAAGAGAAGTATAGCTAGAGGAGTACGAGTACTTTTGGTCTGCTGTCCTCCTTTTCATCGGGTAAGTTATTCTTGGGGATTGTACCACGCGGCGGAAAGCTTATATTATTAATATTATCTGCTTGTGCGTCCAAATGAAGTTTTCCAAATGCATCATGATAAGAAATCGAACTGGCAGATATCATTCCCTCTTGCATTTAAGAGTGGGATGATGAGAGGCTGCAGCACCAAAATTTCAAATTATCACTCAAAGACCTGGGGCGTATCACAGACTTAATATGCTCAGGTTATGTATGGGTAAATTTTTATTTCGTCATCCAACTATTTTTGCTATTGTAGGGGACGAAGCATGCACAGATAAAAAGCTAAGAGCAGCATAACAGAAGCTCAACAGAAAAGTAAGCAAGTAGATTTCCCTGTTATTATGTTAATCTACTTTTCTGAGTAAACGTAGGTGTGGTCGTTAAAGCGTAGAATGCGAGGATGCACATAGCAAAGGCATGTCCGTTGGAAAGGGCCAGGCAAATTTTATCAACGAAAGGGCTGGGGTTCATTTTAAAAACATATATTGAGAGTTTCTAGTCGACCTTTCCTCTGATGACATTATTGCATTTACTGGAGGACATTCCGTGTTTTATATATTCTTGAGGATAAGAACAGTATCGCTTAATTCATCATGGCCTGTTGACCACGAAATTGTTACGTATGACCCCAGATCTTAGCTATGGTTGCTTAATGCCATGCTTTAATCTAATCCATTCACAATGCGAAATGCATGGAGAGTTCTCCGCGCACCGACTCATCACGTAAGGAGAGCAGGTGTAATTTATCAAACCGCCAGCATAGTGTAAAGCGCCTTGACTCCTTACCATCTGAGCTTTTCTTTCTAAACCTGTTAAAAGTAGCTTTTTTTAGATTACCAATATCTCCAGGCAAACATGACATAATCCAGAAGCGGCCTTATAAAGCTTTCAAAGAAATGGGATTATCTGAGTGGTTGCCTAGACGAAGTAATGGACACTTACCGATGTCTTACTGTATAAACCAACCATTTAATTCTTCCTCTGGTTGATTTTGTCTGGAGTGCGGACTATCAAGATTTAAGCGCTATCATAAAATGAAGTCGATGCAGAACGCTTGCGGGCAAATCCAAACCGCCTAAAGCAATGGCCTAATCACTGCCTCTTACCATTTTATGTGAGCAGACGAAGAAATTCAATGAACCGGCGAAATTGGGTTTCCGGTTCACGTGGGTTATTGTCGGAGTGGCTTAAAGAATTTAGTGCTTAGAAGGTCTTGGGTGTGTTGGTCACGACTTCATTTAAACCATCGCTGCACTGCTGGGAGACAGGCAAGTCGGCAGGGCCAGCTCTGCTGCTTTTCAAGGGAGCCCTTGCGATTTTGTATGAGGACAGCTTAACTAAAATCTCTACAACTATTCTGCTATCATCGATATTACTAGGCAGCAAGGTTCCAGCCACTTCTTTCGCGCCAGAAAAATGTTTTTAGGTAGACTGTTATTTCATCGGGTTTGGACGACAGGTTTTGAGTATCCGCTTTCAAAATACCGGAGTCCTCACGATCTAAATCCCGGGTTGGTTATTTACTGTTACGCACTTAAATTCTTCATTCCGGACCAAACCCGCCGTTGTCAGTTTCAGTGATTACAGGTCTTTAATTATCCCAAAGATTAATCACCAACTTAGAGTTAATCCGCCCGTTTGGGACTTATCAACTCAGTTTAAGGTTCTTTTTTACTATTTGGCTCAAAGTTTACCGATTACAACGGAGTAACCAGGTGGTTCTCATGAATTGTATACAGGCAGCCAGTAGTATAAGCATTGTTTTTCCGATTTGCCATATCTGACGGCACAGGTATTAGCTCAAATCCCAGACTCGTGTTTCGCCGGTATTCTGTCGCTGCATTATTCCATTCTATACCGCCACATGCAGGCCAGTCCTCCCTGCATTTTTCTGATGCTATTTTTTTGAGGGTTTTTTTTTCTCCTGTTAAATTACTCCAATCATTTTTAAATTCTGCTATGGAGTTTTTTTTCACCCCTCGTTTTTCATTTTGCTTAATGGACTTCTAATCTCAAAAACTATGTATTGCACTTTGTACAGATTTTGCCTACCTCGTCTAAAATTCGCATGTTAATTTATTTTACTTGCTTTGATGGGACCCCGGCGGGTCTTTAATAAAAATAATTGAATTGAATTGAATTACACAGCTACGAGGGTTTCAACTCATCAGTGGGTCCCCCAGCGTTTCCTGTGTCTTTTCTTTGTCGGCGAAACACGTGTCTGGGCTTCTAGCTAGTACCTGTGCTATCAAGTATGGCATATTGTACAACCTATGAAGTTTCACTTACTTCTGTTTCTGTATACAGCTCACTGGGCAGTATTGCGTTACGCGTGTTGTCGTTTCTACTGGCTGGTTTTACAGGGTATCGGCTACCTCCGAGTAACTTTTGGTCTTTATTATAAACGGCATATTCTTTGGAAATGCAATGCTCTTCTGGACCAGTTTCCGTTGAATATAAAATGCTTGTTTTCGTCGTCTATCAGTTCTTATTTCAACTCCGGTTGAATTCCCCGGTATTCGGACGTTTTTCCTGAGAGGACTCCGACTTGACAAGTGCTTGTTTGGAGAACCAGTTGTTGGTTTATCTGGAAGAAATCAGCTTCCTTTTCGCCTTGCAGTCGGACGTAATTTCTTGAGACCTTGGTTAACATATTCCTCCCTAATCGATACACTTCCCAAGCTTTGAACCCAGATCGACGCACAGTCTCGGTGAGAACGCATTGTGACCAGGTAACTCCTATAGGGCATCCAGGCTGCCTCAATATCTGACTGGCATAAGAGTCACGTACGGCTATGGCTGGATGGGAACTCCTTCGGTTGAGTTCAAGGGAAATTTCAAAACCTGGACCCTGGGTTAAATCTTCCTACTTCAGCGATTAAAGCATAAATGACCAATTCAATGTTTTTGCTCGTAGTTGGGGCGTATTTCCGATAAGCAAACTATTGCCTTTCCTAAGAGAAGGGAAATAATTTCAACTGGAAAGACCCATTTGAACTGCACGCCAAATTTTCCTATTTCGGAATCTAGTGACTAAGGCGGCGACAGGGTTTATACTTGCGTAATTTCAATTATTGGGCAGAGGCTAGTCTTCGCGGAATTTTCGAAGACACTGGAGAGCGAGAACAGCGATTGGCTCGAGAGGTCATTCAAAACTCTCACAGAACTTCCGCCCTGGCCAAACGACTTAGGGGCCATAAACCATAGACAGCTTGTCCTTGCGGGTGATTGCAAGCTGGTGTGCATGCAATCTTGTGCCAAGACGTTTGTCCGTTTCACCAACATACCTTGCATCACAGTTTTGGCATGGTATGCTGTAGACCAACGCTGATTGTTCTGTCACCGGTAGCGGGTCTTTGGGCCTCATTATTTGCTGTCTGATTGTTGACTCTGGCTTATGAGCCACCCCGATCCCGAAAGGCTTCAGGATTCTTGCCGTCGCCTCTGACACGTTTTTCACATAAGGGATTGCGAGCCAAAATTTCGGGTTTTCTCCGTCCGATCGCTCATGAATGCGCCCTATCTTCTTCCTCGTCTTCTTCGGGGGATGATGAACGCGATACAATATCTGGACCTCGAATCTTTACCCATATCAATGTATGCTATGGGCGCTCAGCCCTCCGCTCAGCACGCAGATGGGAGACCTTCGTGAAGCGAGAGTCCTCCACCTACGCTCAACCGAAATTCCTGCACAGGTGCCTTGATGAGAACGTCCTACCAAAGTGCCTCAGATATGGACCGCCTGTGTACTCTGACCTTTGCCAACGGACGATGGCAGACTTCAAGAAAAAAATGATCAGAGTGCTGATACGAGACTGCCACGCTCGCATGCACAAATACCGCCAAATGATTGAGCAGCATTCGTCAACTTGCCAGTCGATCTTTACGGCACACGAGCTGGGTATCCTCAAAGCGGCAATTCTCGACAGTGCACGGCATCACCGCAAATTGCGTGATGACCAGTTGCCTGGAAAATTTGAGAAAATAAGTCCGCCAAAGGAGCCATCCACTGACGGCGTTTGGTTCACAACTTGTCCTCTGATCGTTTCACTCAGCAACAACTAGCCATTCTATCCTATGACGCAAAGTTCAGCACAAGAGATGCTCGACCAAAAGACTTTATTGCATCCTTCGAATCGGCGCTCCAGAAGTGCGAGGCAG